AAATTTTCATGTGTGCAAGTAGAATTTTTTATGTTGGTGGAGATGAGACTTGCATGCATATATATACAAGGTGTATTAAGTTACCTTTACATGTGTATTCCCACTAGCTAGTTGCTTACTTAATTAAGGGTTTGTTTGCTAGTCCTTTAATCTGAAAGCAACTCTTTCATCGACTTGTTAATCAACACCAAATTAGTCCACTAAACATGTATATCGTTTCTAATTTATATGAGTATGGTGGATTAGTACACGCACTTGATTAATTTTTGTTCATTATATATATGATATTTTTAATTACTTTTTAAAATGTGACTACAAGCGTCAAGGAGGCTGCGGTATATTTATAAAAATCCAGAAAATTATTATATAAAGGAAGGCGGACGTATAATATATGACCAAAATAGTGAAAATACAATACATAAATAAATAAATAAACAAATAATTTAAGCAGTTGATTTGATTGAATAAAGTAATTTTAAGAACTTTAAGCTCAATTGAAACCAAAGTTTATTCTAGTTTGAGTGGTTGAGAGCATCGAGTACCTTTACTTTTGAGGTCTTAAATTAGAATTTTGCAAATTTTCATATTTATATATTTTTAAAAGTGAGAAGAAACCTTTGATATAATTAAAAAGACTAAAATGTCAACATATTTAAATACCTCAATAGAGTTGGAGTTTCAACTATCTAATAACCTTAAATCGTCTCTCAAAGTCACGCCTAATCCTTTTTTTTAAGAGAAGAAATCATTTCATTAATTCTTCAACCAATTACAAAAGATTCGGCATGTAAAACGGTGGCCTCGTTAAATCCTAAAGTCACGCCTAGTGACCTAGTCTTAATATTATTAGGTTTTTTTGGTCGAAGTCTTAATATTATTAGGTTGATTCATATAAAATAAATCTATGCAGTGATGAAATTGGGCAAAAGAATGACGTGGGGCTACCAACAAAAATGACTTCATCTAAACCAAACCTCTTGTGGGGCCAGACAGAATAAACTAATCCACAGTGCTTAGAAGATTAATGATTATATATTATGGAACATTTGCGGTAAGCCCTGTTGTTCTTGCAAAAGGTCAAAAAAGTGGTTTGAATACATTGGGATTAAATACTTTTTTTGGGGCAAAATCTATGACAATATTACTTTGGGAGAATGACCATTGACTATAACATGTTTGTTAATGCGATAAGCTATAAGATGAAAGTTGGTCCTCACATCACATGTAGATCTCAGGACTTCCTTCATTATTTGTTATATAACTATACTTTTTATGATTTAATTATGCATCTTGACATCTAATTAATCACCAGTTAACGGCCAGGAGGACATTTGGATTTTATGAGCATTCCAAAGTGAAATAAACAAACAACATGTTGTTGTTGCAAATAATTTAAAATCAATGGAAATTTGTGGTTAACTTAAACAAGCCATGCTGTTTTCGTAAATTAACCATACTATATTGCAGTTGCAATAAATTAAAACACGTAATTAGTATCCGTTTTTATTTTTTGAATTGGGTTAGGTTAATGGTTCGATTTTTTTTCAACAAAAATGGAGCTTACTGCACCATAAGGTGTGGTGCGGTTGGTAAATTGTCACATTCAGCTGGCGAGTTACCTGGTACCTCAATGACAGAGGTTCGAAATTCATTGGAAGCATTTTGTGGCCAGAAGCAAGACGAATCCAGATGTTCAATCCACAAAAAGTTTTTAGCATTTTAAAATTGCATATCCGACTAAAAAATTATTCAATCCTCCGGTGAATGGATGAACAACATACTTACCTGCAAAGCTGTCGCAAAGGAAAGAATCATATTAATGCATATTCAGGGCATCACCTAACTCTGCTGTCTGCACATTAATGTCGAAAATATGCACGTGAAAATTAAGATAAGAGAGAAAACAAAGCTGAAAGCTAGGCATCTGGGCTTGCACATTTAATTTAATTTGTAATTGTATTTTATTACATTTTTCATTTGTTTTCTGTTTTGATTTCTGACATGATTAGACAGGAGGATATCCTCCGGTGGTTGCGTGTTGTTGGTTTGTTTTTTTTTTTTTTTTTTTTTTTTTTTCTTCTTTTTTTTAAAGTGAGCTTGATGATGTTTTTATAATCATTAGGGAAAGGAAACTAGATCTGCAGCATGTAGGATCGTAATGAATCTAATGATGTTTTGATATCTTCTCATCAAAACTTGTTCCATCTCCATGATGTGAAGCATGATGTGTTGTGAGAACTTGTGAAACCCCATGTCCAGAATTTGGTCTAACAATTTAAATGATTTTGAATCTTTCCGTGCATTAATAAGTGGTTTTAGGGTTGGACGTTGAGGTTGTAATATTGTATCAGAACATACCATCCACCGACAGTTTCAGAAACTAATTGCATCTCCAAGCACAACAACACGTATCATTCAAGAAAAAATAGTTTCATTTTGGGACAAAGAAAGGTGTACCATTTCAGCAGTAAAACTCAGAGAGCAGATGATTAAAGAGGGTATTGGGATTCGCCAATGTCAATAATGCATGCAAGTTGTGAAGTGAAGCTACAACCAAACAGCACATGAAAACTGATTGACATAAAAGAGGCAAAACATGTAGACGTAACGAGGGCAACTCAAATTTGTACAACTATATGTAATATACCAAGGAATCAAATCGAGAACATAGATTTGGTGTCCCAAGTACATCACTAGTAATTTACTGTATAATTGGCTGCGTCTTCTTGCTAGGCCAAATATTCCGGGGAAATGATCTCGAATACCACTACTTTTGTATCGAAGTTTTGAAACATACCAAGACAAAATCGACATAATATTGATACTTTATTTGTGTCGTACCGTTTGTCTTTGAAATAATGAGACAATCGTGATTGATTGAGAATTTTGATACCATAATAATGGAATTTGAGATAACCAAATTGTTCATATTTGAAAATGTTATTCTATTGACTGTGAGTCATTATTTGAATCGTTCATTTTCTAAACGTGGATGTGTTGATATGTACAAGTCAAATTTTGTCTACGATTAAAGCTTTTAAAAAAAGAATGCTATTATTCATAAACTCAATATTCCGGAGGGCCATTTAGAAAAGATTAATTTAATTTAATTTATTCTCATTTTAGCCAAGCATCGTTTAAGGGAGCCAGCCAAGCCAAGCTGAGAAGTTGACTTGTGAAATAAAGATTTGAAGCCGTCGTGTTCATCACATGTTTGAAAACAAAGGGCAAATTTGGAAACAAACTCCACCCGAACTTAATTTATGTTTTTTATAAATAAAAATAAATGTATTTATTTATTAAATTATGTTTTTCAATACACCAACATTTGCTTCATACACACCCCCTTCTATAAGCCTAATTATGAAAACCATAGTGTTTATTAAATATTCACAAGAACAATAATTTGGATCTCTCCACCTTCCTTACAATATGTAATTTTTTTAGACTTTCTACAAAATAAGACACAAGTAAATTATTTTTTAATCCATAATTGTCTTTCATATTTCTCTATTTAAGAAGTATTAGTATTATAAATAAATTTAATTTATGTAATTTATCTGGATGGTGATATTTTATCAAAGTTTTTGTATTTTAGACTCTAGTATTGGTCCATTTTAAGTGGTGTGGATGTAGCGTGAATAATATTTTATTTATCTTAAAATAGATAAAGATTAACAATTAAAAACAAAGAGTTTGGGAGACAATAATTAGTCTTGATTTTTTTTATTATACAAACGATATTCTACTTGAATCTAATATAAATTACGGAATAAAGATTCGAACTCAAATTCAGAATTGAGAGCATGTATACTCTAGGGAACTCGGTAGTCTTCCATTAAAACACACACGACAACTGCTAGCAGCGCCTGTTTGAAATTGTTTGGGTGACAAGTGTTGGTGTACCACATCTCTTTTCTCTCTACATTTCCATAAAATTTGGGTCAAAATTTTTATTCTGTCCAAGAGAATCTTTCATTCGCCACTCTACCATTAATATGGTATAAAGCTTTTTTGGTTCCTCACAAATAAATGGAACTACTGCAGTGAAATTGGGAGGCTTTTTCCAGAAATATGTGGAAGTGAAATCGACACACCACTACATTAAGGCCTCTTTTATGTTTAAAGTAACTTTACTGCTCCTAGCTGTTTCCCATTTTCACAAGTTCGGAGATTTTGAGCTGGTTTTTGGGTATTTCTTGTGGTGAAAATTTGAGAACCCAGTGTGGGAAAGTTGGTTTTGGTTCTTGTTTGTAGGCCCAAAGTGTTTCAGTTTTTGTTGGGTTGATCAGAAAAACCCAGATCATTAATTGGTGATGGTGCTTTTAATTTGTATTTTATGTTTGTGTCAAAAGCTCCGAAGTGCTGGTGTTGCCCCCACCTCTTGCCACCATTAAAAGAGCTCTGTTCTTCTTGGTTTTCTATAACAGGGAGCTTGTAGCTCTTTTTAGAGCAAAAACTGAAGCAACTTATTGTTAGATTGCAAATAACATAACATATTATTTCATTCCTTCTTCTTCTTTTTTTGTCTTTTTTCTTTTTTCTTTTTTATGTTGTTCTTTCTTTCATGAAAGTGAGTGTTGTGATTCTGTACAAAACTGGAAAGTCTTTTACTATTGGTCCAACAAAGGCCCTTACTCTCTCTATTAATCAGGCTTTGTATTTTGATAATAACACTTTGCATTTTAGAGCCAAATTTTCTCTGAAATTTCCCAGCTTGAGCTTCTATCTCTTTCAGCAAGACCATGCTGCTGGTTTTGAGTCCCAGTTCCTTGTTGTTCAGAAACCAGGAGCAGTTGTGAGTCAAACCCATCTGGGTTTTCAGTGTTAAGCAGCACCTCCATGAATTTGAGCTAAAACACCAGCACTTTTAGCTTTTCAGAGGGAATATTTTAATAAAAAAACAGAAACCAAGATTTGGTTCTGGTGCTGGGAAGTGAATAATCAAGACTTTATCTGCATCTGGGTTGATTGAGTGGCGCTTGCTTTTTGGCTTGAATATGGCTACTAGGCTTCAGAACCAGGACAGGGTGCCAGAGAACCTGAGAAAACAGCTTGCTCTTGCTGTGAGAAGCATCGAATGGAGCTATGCAATCTTCTGGTCGATTTCAGCAAGACAACCAGGGTACTGATATTTTCATCTTTGCTCAACTTGGGTTAGTTGAATTTTAACTATGTATTTTCTCATAATCAAAAAATAAAATAAAAAAACAAAGTCGAAACTTTTATTCAAAATTTCCCAGAAAAACCTTTTGTTGTTGTTGTGTGATTTCAATTTCTAATATTCTGCAACTTGGAGCGCTTAAGATTCCCATTTCTATATTGGGTGGCTGTCTGGATTCTGCACGTGTTGGGTTCAAAGGGGAATGTTTCACCTTAGCATGGTTGTTTGTCCCCCATCCTTCCTCTCTTGGGTTCGAAAAACTCTTTATGAGCTCCTGCATTATCAGCAACATTTTGAAATTCTCCCAATGAGAGTGATGATGATTCACTAATTGGACTAATCTTCACATTAAGATGACAAAAATTGAAGTGTTTCACGCTTTCTATGACATTCTATTAGTATTAGATGAGGGAAAAGTAGTCATTTTTCATTGTTTGAAATATAAATCTCCTAAGATCTTATGGCATTGTCATTGTCTACATTATCGATTGTATCGTTTACTTTACAGGGTGTTGGAGTGGGGTGATGGATACTACAATGGAGATATCAAGACAAGAAAAACAGTTCAAGCCATAGAACTTAATGCTGACCAAATGGGATTGCAAAGGAGTGAACAATTGAGAGAACTTTACGAGTCCCTCTCAGCTGGCGAAGCAAGTCCACAAGCTAGAAGGCCTTCGGCATCATTATCACCCGAAGATCTAGCTGATACGGAGTGGTATTACCTAGTTTGCATGTCATTCGTCTTCAACGTTGGACAAGGGTAATTCTTTCCTCGCAATTCTTCTTACTCAATAGCAGCTTAAGGCCTTTCTGATATTATGATCAACAATTTGCGATATAACTTACATGAATTCTACTTTAGAAGTTAAAGCTTGAAAGGAGGAGAGTTCTCTTTTGTTAGATGTGATGCACTGTACTTTTCTTGGAATGTAAAAAGACACAACATGATAACCCCAAAGTTCATTCTGTGTTCTTGTCTTCATATAACTTACATGAATTCTCCCCCAAACTTTTTTCAGGTTGCCAGGACGAACATTAGCAAATGGTCAACCTATCTGGCTATGCAATGCTCACTATGCTGATAGTAAAGTGTTCACTCGCTCTCTCCTGGCAAAGGTAGCTTGCTGTTTCTTGGTTTACATAAGTATCATTGACTGAATTCGTGTTCATGTTAATTGGGTAGTTTGCTCAGAAGATACTAAATCATCTGTTCTCTGTTTGGTTTTCTTTTGATGCCTGGATTTGTAACAACTGACACCCTCAGAGTGCCTCCATTCAGGTACGAATACTTATTCATCCACCTATATTTAAAAGTATAAGTTCCTGAGTCTCAGCAATGTACGAAATGCTGAGGTTTTAACACAATCAATAAAAACAATGTTTTGTCATGAACTGGCTTAACCCTGCGTCATAATGGTCAAGAGAAAAACAGTTCCAATCAAAGCAAAGAATAATTCTTGCTGGTACATGTTGTCACAGTTTCAGACACAACAGACTTTGAACTGTCAATACAAGTTTTCCTTTAGAAAATACAATTCTATTTTGTAATTATGGGCATAAGCAATGTACAAAAATCTCTCTCTCAAAACTAAATATGTTTCTCTTGTTTTGCCTTCCAGACTGTGGTATGCTTTCCATTTTTGGGAGGTGTGATTGAGCTGGGTGTGACTGAGTTGGTAGGTTTTTAGAACGCTGCTTCAGTATTTTCAATTAGAAGTTCATGTTTCTTCCAATTCTGATCCACTATGTACTTTTCACATTATTTTTGAAGGTTATGGAGGACCCTGATCTCATTCAGCATGTTAAAACATCTTTCTTGGAGGTTCCATATCACATAGCTTCCAAGAAAACCAATCCTAGTGCAGGAAGCACAAGAAATGACAATGATGTTGCCTGCACTGTGCTTGATCATGATGTTATGGACACCAAATTAATTCCTGTTGTAGGATGTGAAGAAATGAATGTGACTTCACCTAATAACAGCTCAAATGGTTTGGGGCTCAATCAACCAGCTGACGATTCATTCATGGTTGAAGGGATGAATGGGGGAGCTTCTCAAGTGCAAAGCTGGCAATTTATGGATGATGAGTTCAGTAATTTTGTACATCATTCTATGGATTCCAGTGACTGTATATCTCAAACTTTGGTATATCCTGAAAAGGTTCTCTTGGGTCCTAAGGCTGAAAAGGCAAGTGACCGTTGCCTGCATGATCTTAAAGAGCGCAATAGCACAAAACTGACCTCTTTAGATCCCCAAAGCAATGACTTGCAGTATCAGAGTGTTCTTTCTGTCCTTTTAAAGGGCTCACACCAATTGATTTTGGGGCCAAACTTTCAAAATTGTCATCAGGAATCTAGCTTTGTCAGTTGGAAGAGAGGAGGATTTGTAAAATGCCGGAAACAAAGAGGTGGAAGCCCGCAAAAATTATTGAAGCAGATTTTGTTTGAAGTTCCTCGGATGCATGTTGATTGTGTGCTCGAGTGCCCAGAAGATAACAGTAATAGAAATGGAGTTTGGAGACCAGAGGCTGATGAAATTGGTATGAATCATGCATTATCTGAGAGAAGGCGAAGGGAAAAACTAAATGAAAGATTTTGCGTTTTAAAATCGATGGTCCCTTCGATTAGCAAGGTAGGTAAACTCCATTTCCTGATATTTGGTTATTGACCTTAACTGCAAAGTAAAATGTTTTTCCACTTTGTTTGCACAGGATGACAAAGTATCCATATTAGATGATGCGATAGAATATTTGAAAGATCTTGAGAAAAGAGTTGAAGAGTTGGAATCCTGCCGGGAGACGTCAGATTTAGAAGCCAAAATAAAGAGGAAAATCCAAGATACTATTGAGAGAACATCTGACAACTGTTGCAACACCAAAATTAGTAATGGGAAGAAGCCATTAGTTTACAAGAGAAAGGCCAGTGACATTGATGAAACGGAGCCAGAAATCAGTTGTGTTGTATCAAAGCACGGTTCAAGTGATAATATAACAGTGAATATGAACAACAAGGATGTTCTAATTGAGATGAAATTTCCTTGGAGGGAAGGAGTGTTGCTAGAGATCATGGATGCCACAAGCCGTCTCCAATTAGATACTCACTCAGTTCAATCATCCACAGCAGATGGGATTCTTTCCGTCACTATTAAATCCAGGGTAGGAAATTATAGTTACATGATGAATATGATCTATCATTTCTTGCTTTAAGAGAAATGGCATTAGGGATGAGCCCCTTCCCTATCATGTGACACATTTGAGTTCCCAGATGCATATTACAAGTAACTGACCATTGGTATTTTCTTAATTTGCAGTTCAAGGGGTTGACTGTCGCATCAGCAGGGACAATCCAGCAAGCACTTCAGCGAATCGCCAGAAGCTGTTGATGCTTGTTCTCTTAGTGATGCTTAGAGGGTTATTTGCTCTCTCAAAGTCTGTCATTGTACAATCGTGTAACATTGAAAGGTTCTGTAGATTTTCGCTGTAAGAAAAATGAGTCTGTTGAGGATTTTTCCTGCAGGTAAGTAGTCTAGCAACAGGAATTAAACTTTTGTTAAATGCACAATTTTCTTCAAATATTTTGATATGTGTTTCTGTACCTAACAAAACCTGACCTATAGGCCATAACTTTGAGTTCATGATACAGTATTACTTACATTGAGTAAGATGTACTTTGAAAACAACTCAAGGAGGCCTCTAAAATCTGTCAGTTCAATAAGAAATTAAACAGATTATTACAGAAACAAGTAGTTGCCAACATTGCTTAAGGTCACAATCCAATTGGGTTGGAATTTGGCAACTGTGCAACACAAAGACTTGGAAGAAATTGCAGTCGGCAAAAAAGTAAATGAAAATGTAATGTGCTCAAGGTTTTCTGTTATTTATTAACTCTACTCCTACCAAGAATTGAGAGATGAGGCCATGTGTACTAAACGAGAAAGATTTAGTTGTAACGGGGATAACACGTTTTATGGAAGTCTTTCTCTCAAGATGTCTGTTCTCTCGGTCATAATTGGGTTCTGCAAAAAGTCCTTAAATTGAGGAAAATTATAAGAGCTGGGACTTTTATGCATGTCTGCAACTTGATTTTGTTCACATAATGGCATTGGGTACGTGTCATCAGACTGAGCAAATGTAGGAGACCAGGCTACTAGTTTCACTTTAGTCATCAGGAGTGGGTTTTCTCACAGCTTGGCATCATTTGGATGGTCAAAAAGGAAGGGAGATGGGTAAAACCTTGATATTGTAGACAATAAATAAAGTAGAAAAGGCTGACAATAGACAAAGAAAGTTACCAACATAAAAATTCAGCAGCTACTCAAATTTTTGCATAAAATAACAAAGCATTTGTCATTTTGTAACCAAGGACCTTTTTTATCACATGGCAGAGAGCATCTAATCTTAAATAAAATGACAACCGCTTAGCTGCCGTCAGAGGTACACTTACTAAATACTTGGCTTCTTCTCTATAAGGAATCATTGTTCAGACAAATCACAATTTCATAAGTGAGTAAAAAAAACTCCATTATGGTTAGAACTCATCTTTCAAAAAAATTTCTTAAGTTGGTAAATACTTGACACTCACAATGTATCAAATCTATGGTTAGAACTCATCTTTGAAAACCGGTTTATAAAAATGGGAGTTTATAATTTTAGATATTGATTTTTCATTCTCAAGACCAGAGTTCGAATCCCGTCTTCCCATTTTATCTTTCTTTTCAAAAGAAAAATAAATCGGATTATTAAGAAAGATAATCATAAATAATCATAAGGGTTAAAATTCACGATTCAAGATATGGTAGATCTGACCTTTGGGACCCTTCATAAGCTGCAGCCTAAATGACAAGGTTAATCATAGCTCTTCCTGTGATTAAACGTATTAAGAGGTTTTTGTTTTTACTTGGTGGATTTAAAAGCCAAAGTCCAAAGTGGCCTGTCTGGTCTTCTTTTCAAAGTTGGGCAACAACTGTTCTCTGTGCATATAATTTTCAATGGTAGCCCTCAAAGAAATGATGATAGATTATCATGTAGATCATGCCACTAGTTACACCATTTGCTCAATCTTTCATCTCAGGATCTTTTTAACCTATGACCATTCCTCAGAGTTTGTATTGCTAATGTTGGTGCACCCATTTCTGCATTGGACTCTCATAATTTCCAAAGGCCCCCCACCCCCACTATGAACACAATAAAGTAGAGACAAGAAATGAGAGCAACACCCACTAAACATTGTGCACAAAGTTGAAATTTAACCATACTAAATTAATTTTTTGGGACAAACCCATTCATAGTGGATTGAATTCTAGACTCATTAAGTGATCTTAGCATGACCTAATTCCACCAACTCTACCTGGCTCAATTTTGACCAAAAAAGGCTATCTATTAGGGTTAATTATAATTTAGTACCCTATGGTTACACCCTTAAGACATGTTAGTCCCTACCTTTTCAATTTTTACAATAACATACCTTGGACTTTTAAATTTGTTAAAATGTGGTGCCGCCGTTGGGGTTTCTGTCAGATCTCTCCGTTAATTGCCTACGTGACACTGTAGGTCGCACGTTTTTCAATTTTTGTTCATTTTAAATTAATTAAAATATAAATAAAATATTAAAAACCAAAAAAATATTTAAAAATAACTCTCTCTCTCTCTCTCTCTCTCTCTCTCTCTCTCTCTCTCATGACCACCACCCTCCAACCACCACAAATCCAGAACCCACGGAGAGGAAAGCTTAAAACCTAAAAGGAAAGTTCGTCCTTTAATTCTTGCCAAAAACCTCAATTTCAATCTCACCATCTCATTTTATCACAAATCGTAACCCCAATTCTCAAGAAGAATGCTTCTCACTCCGGGACATTCTCCTCGCCACCTCTCATCCCCTTCACTGTTTGCAATTTTCAATAGTTCAGTCTAAACACCAAGAAGTTCCACCTAAATCACTTCTTGGCGTTTGAACTGAACTATCGAACTATGTCGTCGCGATCAAGAAAATAATTGCAGACACCCCTAGAAACCATCCCACAGTCCTTGATGAAGACACCTATGTTGTCGCGATCAAGAAAATAATTGAAATGGACTTCTTTCCCGATATCTCGAAGCTTTGGGACCACCTTGATTGACTAGAAGCGATCAAGACTGGCGACCTAATTCAGATCCACGATGCCCAGTTGAAGTTCATTGAGCGCCGCTGTCACACCCCGGACCCGGGGGTCGGAGAAAACCCCGCGCCTTGTGCGTGAGAAAGTAAAAAGTAAAATAAAAAGAAGCCGAAACATGAGTTTAAAATAAACTTCTTTTATAAAAATAGATTCAAAATCTTACAACTTTACAATAAATAAATAAATAAAGCTCTATCACTCTCATCTAATTCAGCCTCAACCAATTTAGTCCTTGTCTTACCCACTAATTCATCTGAAAAATTAAACAATGTGAGGGATGAGCAACCACCTCTCAGTGAGTAGATTATGTAATATGCCAGTTAAGCAATGCCATTACAGTCTAGAAAATATCATGAAATGATACAACAATCCATATCATATCACATTATCCCTTCATATCTTGGTTATCCTTCATAGCATGTAACCAACCACGTGACCTCTATTGGCCTCACTGCCCTATGTCCCCGTGTGGTACTTCTATCCATTGGATACCCCAATATTAAAGTTCTCATGTTCCATGAATAATACATACTTCACAAATATTCCAGTCAATATATATATATATATATATATAGTGTGAAAGATTGCACCAAATTAGACATGCTTGACTTGAAATAGAGAGATATTTGTAAATAGAACAAATCCACGATAATTCATGGTTTTCATATTTTATCACAAAATAAGAACTTTTAGAACACATTACATAAACCACTCACCTCGATAATGAGAGCCCTTAAAATAAATTTGCAAGACAACCCATCTACCTATCTTCATGTACTATCACCCAAACCAAGCTCCAAGAGTTTCATCACCACTCTCTCTCCTTCTTTCTAATTTATCATGTTTTGAAACTATAAGGTTATGCTCCTATTTATAGTGTTTATAGGGATAAGATAAACTTCAATATTAAAAGGATAAAAACATCCAAGTTTATCCAAAAGATAAATATCTTAAAAAGATAATATAATCCAAATTTATCCAAAAGATAAATATCTTCTTTTATCTGTTTAAAATACGAGTCTTCACAGCCGCGGCTTTATGGCCCTCCCCTTTTCTCACTTCCTTTCTTCTGTGGAATGTCAAAATATTACTATAATAAAAATGTTTAATTCATTGAGGTTCTCAAGAATAAAGATTTGTTGGTTTGGTTGGTTGTAGAGTTGTAGGGAATGTCTTGAAATTCATTGAGCTTCATCGATATCTCATGCATCTTGTCCTCCTATGATCCTACCCCTATCCCCTCATTCTTTTACTCCTTTAATTCCATACAAACAAGAGTTTCTCATTCTCCTAAAAATCTTGTGTTTTTGTCATGGGTCTGAGTTTTGTGTTTTTGCCGTAGAGGAAGAAGAAAATCGCTGGGAAGGGGGATGGGTTCTGTGTGTTGTGGGTTCGTGGGGGCTGGGGTTCTGGGTTCCTTATTGTTGGAGGGTGGTGGTCATGGGAAATGCAGGGAGGGGAGAGAGATTTTGTTGTTGTTGGTGTTTTTAATATTTTATTAAATTTAAAATTAACAAAAATTAAAATATATGAGACCCACAGTGCCACGTAGGCAACTAACGGAGAGATACGACGAAAACTCTAACGGCAGAACCACATTGTAACAAATTTGAAAGTCCGAGGTACGTTATTGTGAAAATTGAGAAGGTAGGTACTAACATGTCAGGGTATAACCACAAGATACTAAAGTGTAATTAACCCCTATCTATTATTACCCCCTAAAGTCAAAATTCATTGAACAAGACTTCCAAAACCATCACCAAAAAGAAATATGATTTATAATCATGATGTTTACATATAAATGCTTACGGAATTACCGTTCAAATCTCCATTCAAAACAATCAAAACTTTCTGAAGACTACTCAACTTCACTACAAGTGCAGGCCAGAAGCATCGAATGAACAAGACATCATTCCCACTCAATTGTGGAGGGAGGCTTTGACGTAATGTCTTGAACTACTCGGTTTACACCCCGTACGCTATTGCAGATCTTTCGTGATACATCATCAAGGAACTTATGTTCGAAATAGTACCTGAAATTTTCAAAGTGGCGCCACATTATCAAGGAGCTTATGGCATCAACAAGTGATGTTAACATGCCTAACTACTTAGCATATACCCAACAACCAACATAAAGGTCATAGATAATAAATAACAGAATATGCAGCACAGATGAAGGCATACCAATCAGCTGTCATCCCATCTTGACTTGTAACAGCTCTGAGAGCAACAACATGAGAATGTGTTCTTTGATCGCCCTGAACCCCAACTGACCTTACAGGCAAAAACACTGCAAATGCTTGCCAGATTTCATCATACAACCCAGCATCTTTGATTGATTGTATGAATATCTCATCAACCTGAAAAGAAATAATAATTAAAAACGTGACATATAAATATTAGAAAAACAAGACGGTCAAGACTTCAACTCATGGATAAACAAATTTACTTGGCGGAGGACATCCAAGGCATTGCCTGTAGTTACATCACCCAAGACTCGTACTGCAAGGCCAGGCCCAGGAAATGGATGGCGCTTTAGAAATCCCTGGGGGACATCCAAGATCCTCCCTAATTGCCGAACCTTTATGTGTCGGGGAAAAAATGGACAAGTCAATAATCAGCACACTACCAAAGGAAGATTAATGCATACTATATGCAACATAGTAGGAAGGTCGAAGCTGAAACCTCATCCTTGAATAGGAGCTTAAGAGGCTCAATGAGCTTTAATTTCATGTCCTTGGGAAGCCCACCAACATTATGATGGCTCTTGATTGTGTGGGAGTGCGTCCTTCCACTTCCAGGTGGTGGGCAAGATTCAATCACATCTGGATACAGAGTCCCTTGGACCAAGTAAGAAGGTTTCCTCCCTAATTTTTCCTCCAAATCATGTGCAAAAGCATCAAAAATGCTAATGAACTCCTTTCCAATTATTTTCCTTTTCTTCTCAGGATCAACAACACCTTTAAGCTCACTAAGAAATTTATCAGTGGCATCCACACAAGTAACAGGCAAATGAAGATCTCTTTCAAAGGTTTCCATTACACGTTCTCTCTCCTTATATCTGCATGAAGAAGAAATTTCTATTAGGTAAACACGAAATATACAATTGAAGTCTACAACATACACAAAATGTTAACCTCTCCATTTTGCTCGCTCTCTCACCTCAATAAACCATTGTCAACAAAGATACAATGAAGCCTATCGCCAATTGCCTTGTGAACAAGAGTTGCTGCAACTGTGGAATCGACACCTCCTGATAACGCGCATATGACATGATCTTCAGTCCCTACCGTGCTTTTAATCACTTTTATTTCTTCATCCAATACGTTTTCCATACTCCACCCTGCACTGACTTTACAAATATCAAATAAAAAGTATCGAAGTGTCTCCATCCCTTCCGGCGAATGTGTCACCTACACAGGATTTTCAAATTTCATTGACTGAAGCAATTTTAAATGCCAATAACATTTCAAATTTTGATCAACTAACAACATTTTCAAATGCAAGTACAAACAAGAAAGGAAATAGACATTTCATGCATAGAGCAATTCCTCTAACATTTATTTTTCAATCACATTCTAACCCAGAAGGTGGCAAAGTTTCAAACAGAACCAATAACAATGTATGTTGTAAATGAAAGTCAAGCCATTTGAAGCAACTTAAAAAACATTGCATCAGAAATCAGAACACATGAACAAAAAATAAAAGCAAAGATAATTAATGAGGTAAGTTATTTTTATGCTACGCCAAGACAAACATAGCCATTCCCATCAAGAACTAAATCACCACAACCCAATTCAAAAACATACCTAAACTGAACCATTTGCTTATACAAAATTGAGTACAACCTGTATAACTAATTTCAAAATCTAAAAGAGAAAAAATTCTAAATTTAATTTACCAGTAATAAGCAACATCAGACACGAAATTTAATAAAACCCACATCCAGTTATCCAAAAATCAACTAAACCACAACAAAATCCAAAAATCCAAACCAAACCCAATTACCTCCGGGTGGTATTGCAACCCATAGAACCTCCTAATCGGACTTTCAATTGCAGCCACCGATCCCTGCTGGCTCCGAGCCACGACCTCGAAACCATCAGGCAGTTTCGCCACCTCATCGCCATGGCTCATCCAAACCACCTGCTTATCCCCAACTTTCTTGGACCCAAAAAGTCCAGAATTTATCTCCACCTCAATCTCCATCCTCCCATACTCCTGCTTCTCCCCAACCCTAACTTCCCCGCCAAGCCTCTGCACTATCAGCTGAAGCCCATAGCACACACCGAGGACAAAGACTCCATTGGCCTCGGCCCACTCGACGAATCCGGCAGGGAAGCTCGGCGAGTCTGGGGTGTGGACCGAGTGGGGCCCGCCGGAGAGGATGACGACCTTAGGGTTGAGGTCGGTGATGGATTTGAGAGAGCTAGTGCCGGAGATGCAGAGGGAGAAGGCGGAGAGGGATCGAATTCGGCGGGTGATGAGGTGGGTGTATTGGGAGCCATAATCGAGAATCAGGACGAGCTCCGATTTCACGGCTTTTGGGTCCATGGGGTTTTGGTGGTGGTGGCAGCGGTGGTGAGAGGTGGCTAGGGTTTACGGGGAGGTGAGGGTTCTTGGGGATTGAGTGTAAGTGGCCGTGCTTTACATTGGAGGGTAGGGTTTAAGGAACGCGACAAAAAATGGAAAATTAGGGTTTTTGCAAGGTTTGGCGGGAAGCGGGCCTTTGACTACTTTTTTCGTCTATCAAATTGCATTTTTCATCTTTGGTATACACATTTTTTGGAATGTAGTAAATTTGCGTATCCCATACACATCTAAAAATATGAAGAAAAAAAAATTCATTTCTTTTCATATATCTATATATTATACACATATATTTTAATATGTGAAGTCTATTAAGTATATTTTAATATTTTAATAGTATAGCCGAACGGCAATACTTTAAAAATATATTAAGATTTAATTAGTATAGCCGCGCGGCTATACTTCTTAAATATATTCGAATATTTTAAAAGTATTCTTTTTTGTAATAAAAATATGCTTTTCCCATTACTTTGGGAATAAAAATTCCTCTTTGTTATTTTGTTGTATTTTTATTCTTGTTTTTCCTTCTTCCTTCGTTTTTGTTTGGGGCTATTTGGTTTGTAAAGCCAGTTTCTGTTTTATTTTGGGCTTTTTCTTTCCCCTATGGGTTGGGTATTTTGGGCTTCCCAAACACCACAATTTCGTCTTCACCACCCAAACTATTGAGCAGAAAATGTTACACTTGCAATAGAAAAAACCGTTCAAATTATTCTCCAGGGTGCCTCCCCTACATGCTGTATGACATTATGGCAATAGGGTTTAGCAGCAGAGATTTTTAGACCGCAAGGATCTACCGGAGGATCACCATAACCTGCAGATTCATTGATAACTAACTACTATGATCTGAGTGATATAGGCAGACTTCTCATAACCCTCTTGTGGAAAATGGCCACTTCCCGTGGCACGGCAGGGCTTAGGTCTGTTGGTTGGCTGTAAACCTCTCCTCCCCATGAAATACAAGACGCCCCTTGTTTTAAGCTGATGAATATTTGCTTTTGGCCAGTAGCCAATGTATTTGTCTTCAAAAATGAACCACCAATTCCCTGTTGCACGATCCTATATCGAAAGGTAATTATATACACGTTAAGAAAAAGGAAAACAAAAAAAGGGAACATATTTTACAATTAAACTAGTACTTAACACAAACAATGGGTTTTCTAGGCTAAGCGAAATGGGTTAAGATTAGAATATGTTACGGTTTGATTAATCTCATCTCAATGTATCAAAAGACAAATTAAAATGCTTACATGATTTGTTCTGTTTACTATTTCTCATTCAGCAATCATCGTTCATGAGATTTGAACTCATGACCTCCTTTAATAAAAAGGAAAACGCTTTTACATATAAATAAATAAATAAAAGGTAAAATCAAGAAGGAGATGGTTACCTTATGTAAACTGAGAAGCATATCATATTGTTCACCTATGTAAGCGGAAATTAGATTAACCTGAAAGGTTTGTAAAAGCAAGCAACGAACACGGATGTGAAAAATGACAAATAGTCAATTATCATCTTCGTTAGGTTGTTAAGAAATGATACTACCTAAAACTAAATTGTGTTTTGTCACACTTGTCATAATTTAATTTCAAATTTATTCACCAAATGATGTGTATCATCTTTTCGAATGCATCCTCTTCCTCCGTGATTATGGTTTCTAAATTCGAGCACTGCTAAAAAAAATTAAAAATTAGAAAAAAGAAAAAGTTATGGTAGCGTCATTCGTGTGTAGGAGCATGACTCTGTCACAACCATTGATTTTTGTAGAACCGGCTACAATGATTTTGTTTAAAAAAAATTACTCTACATCATGACCTTCTATTTGAAGCATATTGGAGCCGCGCCAAATGACTGAATATTTCTTTTGGCCTGTAGGCTGTAACCAACATATTTATCTTCAAACATGAGCCACCAATTCTTTGTATGACGATCCTATATTGTCATGAAAGAGTAACACACACATCAGGTTGAAGGGAAGTGATTCATTGAAATAACATCAATGTTTGGAAGTCGTCTTTCGAGAAAGCTTAAGGACAGTCGTCCACTCACGCATGCAAGCGACTGTTTCTAGCAAAATTCTTTTATCTTTTTAATCAAAGTACTTGATATAAAGTAATAAAACTGATTGCATTTTGTTATCACACCTTGCACATAATCAGTAATCTATTTCTACCACATTTACTAACGATAATGTTCATCATGTCTTTTTATATTGGCAGTAAAATTAGTAGAGGGATGGGCACCTGATGTAAACTGAGCAGCATATCATATTGTTTACCCCTGTAAGTAGAAGTTGGTAGCTTGAGGCCAAGGGGTATATCAGAGCTAACTTGCAAAAATCCTGGACATAGAATATTGAAACAACCAGCCTTTTGGTAACCATCTGCCTGCAATATACATGGTTTTCCAAAACTTATAAATAAATGAAAAGAAAATGCAAAGTTGAGACTTGAAATTACAGACTTACAGTCCAGAAATTATAAAGTCAGCTGCCATAGGGATATAGATTTAGATTAACCTGAAAGGTTAAAAATAATTAATTTTATTTAATTGTAATTAATTTGCAATTTTATCATAAAGAGGTGTTTACAGCAGATGCTTACTATCCAACCAGCTTGTATAGTGTTATTCTGCTCCCTAGACCAATTTGCGAGAGCCATACTTGAAAGGCTAAATTGAGTTTGTGGAACACTAGGGTTCCAAATATTAATGCCTCCTCTGCCTCCATAAATTGAGTTTCTATACTCTAGCATTGCAGCCTGATGATTTGAGGAAATAAGTTTTAAAAAAAACCAAACCAATTATTTTATGAATCAATCAATTTAATTGTAAAAAGAAAGACTAATTCATTCCAAATACGATATCAACTAGCTATTACTTTAATCGGGATGCTATGATTTTTTCTCTTTTGATACAAGTGATATTAAGGAAAGGGGGAACCGAACCTAGGACTTATGCATGGTAAATGCTCTTAACCACTTGAGCTACATGGCGCCCCTTGCTAATTGTTATGCTAATTAAGATGATGGTCTTCTTATTTATGAGAAAGTTGTACTTACATGATGGCCCTTTATGTCAATCTTATTGGAGCTGCGCCTGTGAGTTTTAGTAATTGGGTAGTTTAGTCCCAAAGACTTCATATTTTTTGCCATTATTATATCTTCCTTTGTTGCCCTTCTCATGGGCACTGATCCTTGTGGGCAATGTAGGTTCCTAGGCACATATTGTGAATATTTAAACGTTTTCAATTCTTCGTTTCCATTCCCTCTTGGCACCTTCGTAGGTTTTATCTGTATTGAACAATTTGAACCCAGATATATAAATGTGAACATACATTACTAAACTGTATTGTATGAAGAGCTTTGATAGCGTCAGTCGCCCACAAACACGTGAGTGATTTTAACTATTAATTGGTCTGAAGTACACACCAATCAACAATTATCAATCACTCATGAGCGTGATATTGAAGCAAACACGTAACCTGGATTGTATGATTCTTGTGCAGAGGATGATCGAAAGCAAGTTGTTTGTAGATACCAATGCAATCTACAATATCACCATATCCAATCTGTTGGTGGCAAAAGTGAAAAAAGCCAAAGATGGGTTCAACAAACTAAAACTGTCTCAACTAGTACTATTTTGAGCATTTAAAAGAGAGTTTAATTGCCCTGAAACTCTTGATTGGAAGTTTATCGATAAGGTTAAGCTGTGTATCCAGCTCCAAGTCTTCATCTTTTGATAACCTTCCCCATCCTTGAACTGCAATATCTCCATAAAAAAGTAGAGCAAATGTTGCCAGGAACATAATTGTCACTCTGTTGGAGTTTCTAGCAGCCATTCTCATAGAACCAGCTACCTATGTACTTTGAAATTCTGTTGCATGATATGACGGTTACTAAGCTCTACCAACCTTAAAGTAAAATAAAAGAAACTATAGTTGACATTGGCTTGGATTAATTAATGGAAAATCTTAAGGATAGTTGACTATAGATTGGACCAATAACTAGCAAAGATAAAAGTTGAGGTTTTGTGTAGAAATACTAAACAATATAGACTTGCATTAATTAAAGAAAATACTATCGATATATGGTTCGCAATAACAAGCAAACACAGGATCTCGGATGCACGGATAACTGCTCTTCACCACTACAGCTACAAGCCCCTTTGCAACTAAGGAGCATCTTAAAGGCTGAATCTTTGAGTTAAGAAGAACATTTGTCCACACTAGAAAATTTGAATGAAAAATGAAAGGAACTAGTTGAAATTGACCTGCATTAATTAAGGAAAATCCAAGAGATTCACAATAACTAGCAAATCCAGCAGCACTTGAGATTTTATGAGTTATAAAGAACCAAATCTGATGCAATGATTAGCCAGTGTGGCCTACAGAAGGTATTCTTGGATCATCAGATTGGCCAAGGTGTATTTCAGAAGTGGAGAGTTCCTTGGATACCAAGTAAAACTTTGATGATGGAGTTGAAGGGTGCCTCAGTTGTGGAGATGGTGGTCATTCTATTAATCACTGGAAATGCAATTGCAGATGAACCCTGTTTCCAGCAGTGCCTCAACAATTGTGATCAGTTACCAGTTTTATGTGTCAGACTATGTCTGGGGAAGTGTCCTCTTGATCCTAATCTACCTCAGAACCCCGTGGATCTCTCCCATTACTACTGCAAAATTGGTTGCTCACTTCACCAGTGTCACAAATTCACAAATTTAGCCATGGTACCCTCTGCCTCTTTATCTATATGGTTCTTAATTTAACTCTCTCTCTCTCTCTCTCTCTCTCTCTCTCTCTCTCTCTCACACACATAAAAATGATTCTGTTTTTTCTTGACAGATAAGGAGAAAATGGGAAGTTGCATGCAAGACTGTTCCTACACAAACTGCAACATCCAAGCTCCTAGTCCTCTGTAATTGTATATATATGATATTATATATACACATGTGTATTAGTGTATATTTGATAAATGAATAAAGAAAGGGTTGATTATAAATTCCCCTGGCTTTGCGTTCCTTCCTCACCTCTCTCTCCCCCTCTTTCTTTTATTAACAGATTTCTTCCACGCCCACGGCCCAACACTTCTGCTTGCTGTTTTTATTTATCTCCTAAATTGACATAATGCCCTCAATAATATAAACGCAGTGTTTATTGCATCCATGTACAACATATATATAATAAGAAAATATACATAAAAATACTATGTGTCAAATCCGTTTTCCAGAGCAGAACAAAAGTCTTGATGAAGAACGACTACGCTTGTAAGCTATTGCTTGTAAAATATTTATCACACTATGTTACATTGAAAACTTACAAAATATGTTCTACAAAAAAAATATGCGGGTGCAAAAGAATAATGATGCAGTAATGTTTGCAAAATGCTGGTATGAAATTACAAGATGGACTTGAAGATATTAGGATTCGGGTGTGGGGTGTGAAATTGTGAAGATAGTGGGAAGATAGTGGGTATAGTGGGGTAATTTGTGCTAGGTGTGTATTTAGGGGTAGTTTGGGAAGATAGTGAGGTTTTCTTAGAAATTGTGAAATTGTGAAATTTCCCTAGCCTATCCAGAATCACTCCCAAACGAGCCCTTAGAAGTTGGGTGAACAAAGAGAAGCGCGGGGTTAAATAGAAAAACTCGAAATAAATGCATCGACAACTCAACCTTTATAGTATTTGTTTTTTTCCTTTTTTTTTCTAAGCTAGCTTGAAATACATTGTTGGCGCATTTCGTAGACACTACCCTAGACACATCACAAGGCTTATAATCTAGCTTGATAAAACATTGAGCTCCTCTATTTAACAGGAAAAAGATGGAGAGAGTCAAAAGATCCGGGGAGGGGGTGAAGGCTGTGCACTTTGTATAGGATCATGAGCCAATAATTAGTAGCTATCAGATGTTTAATATAAACTGTACAGAGTATACGCAAAATTTGAGCCTTACAATTGATCCAAGGGTACCCCATGACGATCTTATGCACATCTGCAAGAAGCTTCCTGATACCAGCTCCCCATGTAGTCACCTTGTGTTTGCAACCTTGTGTTTGCATGATTTGTTCAAATTGTCCAAATACGTTTCTTAAGTGACTTAAAAACAGTTGGTCTAACCTACCCAAGCTTGCCCCGATTTCCTTGGTCCAATGCAGACCAAAGCACAGCTATATAGCAATATACAATTTTTCAGAAGAGCCGCTAAAATATGGTTTCCATGATCAGGCCTTCTAAAACATCTTCTACCATCTCAAAAACAGTCTCCTCAACATCATTTCGGATATCCAGCCACATTCCAGACTGTGCTATGTCCTTTTCAACAATTTGCTGCATCGTATGTGGTGATGGATGCACAGACTTCATCACTTCATGAATCACAGTTTTCTCAATGCAAAGTTTTCTTCTGGCATTTGGCTTGATAAATGACACCCAAGGGGAGCATGGAAGATGAGTATGATATACCTCGACAAGGACTTCATTTATACAGTCAAAGAGGAGCATACAATCACCATGGAATTGGTTAGGCTGCAACTTTACTGCATCAAACAAGAATGGATCAAGCAGTCGATCAGATGATTGACACATCATCGAGAGCTCATCCCAATTCAAGCCAGAAGCTTGCAGCACGGCCATCACGTACTCAGAGATATATTCATGTTCATTCAAAGAAGAGGTTTCGGGTTCCAAAGGGGACTTCACAAGAAGAGCAGAATGGTGCTCTTCAGCTGCAAGGCATGGTTGAACTCAGTTACATGAAGTGAATTGGGAAGAAGAAGAAGAAAAAAGGAAAAATTGGTAGATCCTGATGAAGGTGTACCAGGTTCAGATATGGTGCTTGCATAACTGGTGGCATCTACAAAAAACTGCTCAAGTACAGAAACTGGACTTGGCTGTTCTCCTTTATCTTCGATGCAATCAAAATCTTCCACTCTCTGAATACTTGAAGGGCTTGAATGAAAAACATCCGGTGAAGATGTTAATGGCTGATCCTCAAAAGGTGAATCCAGAAAAATCTCAAGATCAGTAACAAGACAACGGTAATAAAGCACATAAATTGGCAGCATAAAGTGGACAAAGAAAAGAACAGGTGGTAGAGAGAATAATTCCAAAATAATTTTAGAGAAAATCAATTCGGGCACTTTACCTGTCTGGATCTCTTAAAATACTCCTCTTCCTCGTACATGTTGGTTGTTTCTGAACTCTGATCAAGAGCCTTGTCTGTGCTGTCTAGTTCAGTCAGTATTTCGGAATGCTGAGTTTCTCCTTGGCAAGTATCATTAGTCTCTGTGGTATTGGTCTTCTCCGTGCAATCTGGTTTGGATAGAACTTCCAAATAATTAGTTTCTCCTGGGCGGATAGTATTGTTAGCTTTTATGGTATCAAATTTGTCTGCGCCTTCAGATTCGGAAGGCACTTCTAAAGAACTAGTTTCTCCTTGGTGCAAGGTGTTATCATTCTCTACAATTTGAACACAGCCTGCAGGAGATGGATTATTAGCTAAACAAAAGAGAACCTTAGAGATCAATGAAAAATCTATAATTAGTAACTCCAAACCTTTAGGGCTTGAAATATCTCCCTGCACAGTGATGTCAGTAAAAGGATAATCTGAGTTATTTTGCCGTGTATCAAAAACTTGCAACTGATCATCAAGTTTCTTATTGTCAGGCAGGACCTCTACGTCCTGCCTCAATGGACTTGAGTAGCTGGCTTTCTTTTCTTTATGAAGCCTCCACTTGTTCTCATATACCATTTGGCAATTGCTGTAGGGTGAAAATGTCATTTGCTCATTAAGAAACCTATTTTCCCAGTCCCTTACCGGATTACATGTAGGCAAGAAGTCATACTCAGGAAATGACATCACACTTCCCCATGTTTTTTGTGCCTGCCTTTCAAAGTAGCTCTTCTCCTTGTTCCCATTGTTTAACAATTCTGAGAGATGTTTCCCAGCCTCCACAGAAGTTTCAGATTCCTCTTGCTTGGGTTGGCTAACAAGCGAAATGTTTGAGTTTCCAAGACCACTTCCACTGGTTGATGCAGCTTCGCGTCCAATACTTGATTCACATTGTTTCACCTTGCCTATGTTTTCTTTTTTCTTGATATCAAGAGAAGACTTGGTCACTCCTCCACCATCAACACTAGGTGAATTGCTTCTAATGATCTTCATACCCTTTCCTTTACAATCATCTCCTGTGCTTTGGCAGGGAGATGTATTTAGTGTACCATCGATTGACTTGGAGTGCTGCTCCTTTCTGCTTTCCGATATAGCATGTCTCAGTTTCCTCTTTATACGGCTAAAGGAAGAATTTGCAGGTGTGTCACTCTGCCCATTATTTCTCAAGCTTTGCATAGAGGTATTGATACTCTCTGAAGAAATTTCCATGCTCGGTGGGCCAGGTTTTAAAACTATTATTCTCTCTGGAAACTCGGACTCACCATTTTCCTGTGACGGGTAAATATCACAGGATTTCAACGTGTGAATACTGGAAGGACCTTCAGATTGCCTTGCTTTGCTTGTCCGATATTCTGAGATGTTGGCTTCACAGGGAGATTTACTCTGATGTGTTCTTGACTGAGAGTCTCGGAGGTCTTCAATGTGTTTGACTAGCAGAGAATTTGGGTCTTGTAGGAGTTTTCGAAATAACTCTTTATTCGAATTCAAAATTTCCAATGCATCTAATAATTGTTTAGACTGGTGGTTCACCCCATCAACGAATTTCTGATTTATGATGGCCTCAGCTGCATTCAGCTGTACTGGCACAAGATTAATCTCATTAAGCTGGTCATGCTTCACGGTATCAATACTTGTACAACCGCATCCTCGTCGGTTTTTGCTATGTACCTCTTTGCTAGATACTTCTGGCAGTGCTGCAGAGTTGAGCTTATTCAAAGGTTCTTCCACCAAAACTGAATTAGAATGTTTTCGATGCTTAGCTTCATGGGATCTCTGACGAGTTTTGCTAGTCTTTCCATTGTTTTTTGGTAAATGACCAACAAATTTGGAATTAGATGGTATATCTTCCCCTTCATCAGTAGCAAACTTCTTGTTCGTCTGCGGCTCAGTGGACAAGTCTTCTCCCTTAAGCTTTCTTTTACTTGCCACATCAGAATCAACTGTCTGAGTTTTGTTCTTCATTCTATCCTGGAACAATTGAAGTTGCTAATCAGTTAATTCTTCTAATGCTTTAATTGATCAAGTAACCAGCCAGCGGTCAATACTGTGAGAGAATATTAAATAAAAAAGAGACCAAAATGAAGAAAAAGTATAGAAGAAACGAGCCTAATGGAACTTACATCCATGCTTTGGCCCTTCTCGTCCATTTTGTTAAGCAAATCAAGCTTGGTCTTAAAATTTCCATCATCTACATACAAAGAAAAATAAATAGATAAACTTTTCAATCTTATTGAATATAATAATTAGAAGAATATAAAACAAATGCATAAATATAATAGGAAATCATAACAAAGTACAATGATATTTTCAATACTGCAAAAGAATTTCAAGGTATATCTTATTCAGTACTTTTAATTACTCTTTGATAAGTCTATCAGCACTTCGTGAAACGACGAAAACAAGCACTATCATCTTGCTTCAGCATTGTTTAGTTCACAATTATGCATGTAATAGTTTATCGAATACAGCAGCTGGGTGAGTACAAGCAGTTCATAAAGACTTGCATCTGTTGCATTTGTCATTGTACAGCATAACGAAAAATTCTTACCCAGTCTGTTTGTATGCCTCTTATGTGAAAGCCGCTTCTTATTAGAATGACCTTGACGGAAGTTGAAGAGGCCATATAAATGCCACATACAGCCTGTCTCGTACTTCTCACATACCATAGGACTTTTTGGCATAGGACTTTTCGGCATAGGGCTTTTTGCTGGTGTCATCTTTGCCATGATGAGTGAACTGGGAGAGCTTGGCTATAGCATATAACACCAGATTAACATCAAACTAGAGAATAAATAAAAAGAAGAAGAAACTGTGGGGATGAACAGCTTAGTACACAGCATACAATATAATATTGTGTAACCTGATGATCCCAATAATAATGCAATTATTTGTCTCTCGGATAGCATAATATTGGTACTTTGAAATAATTTCGCACAAAATAAATAAATAAAAGACATGAATAAATTAAAAGATGACTTGTAATGTAAGAATAGAAAAACAATTTTTTCGAATAAGTTTCACCCTGTGAAGGACAGTTTTCTATAATCCAAACACATATACAATGTCATGCACCTAACCAAGAAGAAGCAACATATAAGCATAAAAAAGTTTATATCCAAGTGCACACTCAAGTCAAGAGAAACACCAGTTGAACATATAATCTTCTGCACTGCAGATGATTGTATTAGATGCAATCTGCAATATTGTCTTTGGTTTGTGCCCTTGTTTTATGTGTGTTTTGTACTTAGGTTTTTGTAGTGTGCAAATTATTTTAAACGTGTTGTCCCACCATGTGTTTTCTTCAACAATCACACCTAACATGATTTGTTTATTTGGAGGAAAAATCGTAGATTCCTTCTGAAGATGGAACTTTAGCCACAAGTATTGCTAGCCATGGCTTGAGTGACAGACAGGCCATGGCCATCAATTCATTTCCCAATAAATCTTTTACCTTCAAAGTTGAAACACCTAACTAACTTTTCAGCAAATCATTAAAAATTATAGAACAAGAAAAAAAAAAAAGGAGGAAATTCAAGCCAAAGTATCTTCTACTCTGTGCTACCTCAATTTTAGCAGCTCCGTGGCTGCCTCTGTAAGTGTCATTAGCTCCTAATTTGCTAAAGCACTAATCAAATAAAGAGACATTTTCTGTTTGTTTCTATGGAAAGTGTTTCCAGTGAAAATTCTTGTCTAACAACCAAACCAAAAACATAACTGTATAAACTTGCAAGCCCAAGATTTTAAATGTTACAAACATCAACTGAGATGAAGAAATTTCTACAAGGAAATAAGAAACAGAGAGATAGAGAGATAGAGAGAGAGGTACCTGAAAAAGCTTTTAGTCCTCTGCAGTGCTTGAGAAAGAAAAAGGGACGCTTTTTGCTTTTTGACTGAAAAGATAGTAACTTATGCAGAGGAGGCTATGGACTTCTTGCTTTAAATATAGCAAGTTCCAGTCTTTAACATCAAACTAAATTTATACCCAGAAAGCTTAGTCCCAAATGGGAGCTGAAGAGCCATGAACAAGGAGAAGAATAATAAAAAAGTGAAAGAAAGAGATATAAAGGGGAACGAGATTTATGGCGACAGCGACTGGTAAATTGCAATTTGCAGAGACACCAAGGATGGGGATTGAGGAGGAAAGCTTTCAACTGAAGGAAAAATTAAGTTTAGTAGCTTTCCCACTTCCCTCTCTCTCTCTCTCTCTCTCTCTCTCTGCATTTCCATCTTCAACCGTCGTCAGAGTCTCATCACCTCCCTTTGTTTTCAACACTTTCTCTCTCTCTTCACGTTAAGATAAAAAGATGTCTGTTTACGTGTTTGAATTTTATAATAAGATTTTTATGCTATGCTATGACATGAGTGTTACAATAACAATGATATTGTAAATGGACGGCCTTTGGATTTTTTTGTCTTTTCTTATCTAAGATTTCCGACATTTTATATCTTGTGAAATTGATTATGTATTTTAAAATATATTGGTTAATCCATGTGTGGGTTAGGGAAGTTACAAGGCAGTGTACTCGGCTATTTGTCCTCAATTACGAATTCTCCAACAAGGTCTACTCCAGTAAAAAAAGACTTTTAATTGCAAACCAGTTGTTTTATGTTTGAATCTCCATATGTGTCAGCAGTGTGTGTGCGTGTGAAAAACTTCCTCCCTCTTGTAGTTAGATATTTAAAAAAGCAAAAGGTCTGAATTCTCTTTTTCGTCTCATAATTTAGGTACAATTATTCATAATAAAAGCACTTCCACCCCATTGTGTCATTGCAAAGGACAAGTAACGGTAAACACTATTCATGGTGACTATCGTAGTAATTTTTTTATGCATTCCTACCCATTGTCATGGTAACCCAAGAGCAACTACTATTTACATGAAAAAGGAGATGAGTGGAAATGATCTTAGAGATTATCTCTTATCAAACAGTCGTAAGATAAACATTTTTGCACCCATCTTTTAGTTGTCGATATTTTATTAAGTAATAATAATTATTATTATATAAAGTTAAGTTGTCAAAATGGTTTAGTATTTCATTAAATCCAGAACATTAATCATCAAGATTCTTATTTGAGACATTGATAAGATAACCTTATCTCTCTTTTTCTATTTTTCTTCTCTTTTTGTCAAAGTTAAGAAATAAAAGAGGAATTTTTTTTACACACACTTTTAAAATGTCATGTAAATTTGAACCCGAAACTATGTAATAAAATAACGTTGTCTCACAATCAATACAACACAACATGAATTTTATTTGAATATGAATTAACATTTGATAACATAACATATTATATCTAGGTTCTCGATCTAACACAACACATTCTTGGTAACAAATAATTATTTGTATAATCAATTTAAAAAAAGACAATGAAAAGCTGCATTTTCGTGATCACGATGTAGACTTGTTTTGTTGGGGGGTTCATGAAATAGGGTGCGTTTTGGGATTATGTGGAGGCGTTGTCGTCGTAGGTGACAAAACACTGATCTTTCTCAATCTGAATGTGAAGCAGCCATAGCCAGCCAGCCAGACAGCCAGTCCCTAAGCTTGCTGGATCAGACAAATTTTTAAATTTTCATGTCTTTTACTACAAAAGTTTGAAATACTTGGCTTATATTTTCCAAAATTTGACCTCCATAAATACATCTTATAATTACCATGGATTTCCGGATGGGTGCCTGGCTCAGCTGGATTGGCAGGGCCTTGTACGTTTCTGTCCAAAAAAATAGTAACAGAGAAGTCATGTTTGTCCAGTCAAATTAGGTGTCAGAAATAATTTCTATGGTTATTAAATAAATAAAAAGGAAAATAGTCTTTAATTGAATGACATTGTCGAGTTCGTAATTCAGATTGAGTCCTTGATGGCTGCCACCAAATATGACGATGGTCCCAAAATTTAGTATGTATTAATTGCCTTCAGTTCTAAGATAGCTAATTCATGAAAAAACAACAATGAAATGTTGACATTAAGGACAACAAACATGCTTTTTGGCTCAATCAAAATCACAACTAATGGCCAGGGTGCGCTGAAACGTGTGTGTGAGTCTTCCTAACCCCCGAAAGGGTGGATTGTCGTGGTTCGTCACTATCTAATCCCCTTTTTTTATTATGAAAAAATCAAAATCAAAATCAAAACTAATGGCCCCAATAAGTCCTACGTAGATCTATAATTCCACCTACAATATAGTCATGGAAGGTATGAGACTAAAATCAACACACTCAATTGAAAATAGCTATCTGCAACCTCTATTTTACGTACCATGTTGACTATGGAAAATGAAAATGTTGAATTTAGATTTCATAGTGTTCATCTTGGAATTGTCGATTTTGTAGGGGCAAGTTCTAGTCACCGCGGGATCTTATAAATTTCGCACCAAGTGGTTAAGCTTCCCTTTGACTTCCCAATAATACTTTTCACAACAAACTTTGGATTCCGCTTGAGAAATCGGAATATTAGGCAACGCCAATTATAATTATAAATAAACAAATAAAAAGTTGAGTTGTCAAAATGTTGGGAAAACAAAGTTTGAAAACAATGGAAAGAAAGAACGTTATCATATGAAAGTACGTGTAAATTATTATGATTCCTAGAGGCTATGCGTATGCATGCTTATGTGTGTGCAACTACTACTCTTGGCCTCGCATGGGTTGCGTTAGCCTTAAGATTCCACTTGGGACCGCAAGCCCCAACAACCACATGAACATTGCAACAGAAAAAAAGGCTTATTCAAAATTGTGAGCAATGTTCCTACAACTTCAAAACAACGTAAACTTATCTCTACGAGATGCTATTGTAGCGATATTTTAAGTCAATTACATATTCTCACTGCATGAAAGTTCTTCTCGTACAAGAGCCAAGGCTTGCTTGCTTGCTTATATGACAAATCTTAGTTAATAACAAGTGCATATGTCACATACACTATTAATATCACGTTGATGTACAATATTCATAATAATTGACAATCATATTTTTATACAAGCGATACTAGAACACGCTAATATAATAATGAACCCATTGATTACTTGGATGTTATTATTGGTGGTCTAGTTGGTGCGACTGAATATGGTTGTCTTATCCAATTGGACCATGCCCTCCTCTCTTATGACATGCAACAAAAGTCAATGGAGATAATTTAACACAATATCAATCCCCATTTAATGTTGATTTGTACATATCAAACCAAGACATTTTCTACGAGTGGAACCAATAATTTATACAGAGTGTTGGACTGGACTATTTTGACGCTTTATTTTAATACTCCTTGTAGGTAGGTGGAAATTTTTGGTATATGAAACTTTAAGCTCGGGAGAAGGATCATCACAGGCTTGATGCTTATTTGTAATTCTAATTCTAATTGTCTTTTTGTGTGTTTTTTTTTAAACATCAATATTGAATTTAGGTCGCTCTGTTATTGTAATGGCCATTTGTAGTTAGTTTGTATTGGCTATTTTTGCGACAAGTGATTTTTTTGACCAAATTATGAATGCAATTCTAGAATTTCTAATATATATATATATATATATCAATATTGAATCTAGGAGATACCCTTTTATCCATCCATTTTCCCTTCAGAGCTATTTGAGCTAAAAAAAACTCATGGGCATTATGATTGTCAAGATCAAGGCGAGTCGTTCTAACGAGTGTGAGGATAAATAAATAACTTATTTGGGTTCATTTTACCTTTAGAAGCCCCAACCAATTTACTGAGACTTTGAGCCCAAAACTAGC